TTAAATACCTCGGTGTCACATCACTGATGAATTCACACACATCCACAACACACTTACAAATGCCAGGCAAACAGTCTGTGTCCTCCACCAGCTGCAGGGTGTCTACCCATCTATCAAGAAGGCAGACATATTCTCAGCTGGGAAGAGTATCCTGTCAAGCAGCAACACCTGCTGGCACTGTAATTGCACTGCATGGAAGCAGCTCCCCGCAGAAAACGGTTTGTTCAGCTGAAATCAGAGAACCTCTACTCTCTCTCCAGGTCACATTCACCAAGACACTGAGGATTCAACAAAAGCCGTCATCAAAGGCTTCTCCATCTAAAGAGTTTGAAACTAAATAATACACATTTCCTTAACCATAACAGCATCGTAAAGTTTAGACACTTACGTCACACTTGTTACTTTAATCCCAAAATAATCAAATTAAGTACTACCTCATTTGAATGTGTGCTGGAGTATTTGGAACTACTACTATAATCAGATGTGATCTTACCGGTATTGATCACGTCGACGTCGCTCCTGGACAAGCTGAACTGAGTAATTCCGTCTGAAAACAAACAAATTGCAAGCCCGCCTCCACTAAACAGCGATTGGTCAATCGACCAACCCGCACCTGCGCGCGCTTAGTTAACAGGCAACGTGGTGAGACGTTACATCGAGGGCAAATGGACGAAGTAGGTCTTTTGAAGACGATGCACCTCTCATCCAATAGGCTTCTTCAATTCTGACGGACTACAGGGAAATTCTGGTATTTTCTTTAATTTATGAAGAACTTTCCAGAACGCACGGACATGTGTATATAGATATCTGGATAGATAGATATTCACATACATATACATACATATACAGTGTTAGCATTTTAATGTAAGGAGGATCTAGAAACCAAGCAACAGACAAGTCTATAATAAAACTTTTTATTGTGTTCAAAGTCTGGTTGCCAGACAAAATTTTACAAAAGTTATCATTCTGTTCCTAACACATTGAGACACTTTTGTGCAAGGTCTGAGTATACACTGATAACCCTGTCATCTCGTGTAAAACAAAGGCCATCCGGGTCAGTAACAGGAGTTAACATAAATATATGACCTGGTCGAGTCGCAAAATATTTCCACCATATACAACAGGTCAAGTCACAAAAAATACAATACATACATTAACCAGACATCAACCAACCGTTTGCTGCTTTCAATTACCAAAATCTGTTGAAATTCCAGCTGCTATTGAAGTAATATTAACATACTCTGTATATGTGTTTAACGCAGAATAAAAGGCAAAGAAAGCCATGAACAGTCACATGAGCATCAACAGTTTCTTCTCTAGGTTGTTTAGTTTGAGTTGGAATTAATGACATTTGTGCACTGTGGTTCACAGAAGGGGCCAAAGCGTCCGTAGATGTCTTTGGCTCTGACGGCAAAATGATACGTGGAACCAGACTGGAACTGTGTCAGTGTACAGGCCATAGGCAGAGGAAGGGCCTTCACCTCACCAATCTTCTTCCAATGCTGTTGACCCACATTGGTGTTGGAGTTGTCTTGATGATAGGCATACAAGTGGTAGCTGTCTACAGTTGCGCAAGTGCGATCAGTCTCTGCCACACACCAGGACAGAACTATCCCATTCTGACCTGGCACCAATTTCAGCTGTGGTTGCTGAGGAGGGGAGGTCCTCTCAGCCTCGGCGGGTAAACGTGGAGGTGCAGGCACCACAGGAAGAGGGGGAAGAGTCACGGTGGATCCCCGGGATGGTGTAGTGCTGGTTACAGTGCGGGCTTTCAATGGAGTATCCTTTTAAGAGGAAAAAAAATGTTGTTTTAACACTTTAACAACTCACTACCAGAAAGACCACAGCAGACCATAGACCACAGTCAGTTCAACCACCCACACATTATTTGCATGTAAATTCTATGAATAAACACTATGTGAGTATAAGTGATTATAATAATATGAGGACAAGGAATGGGATTGCTAAGAAGAAAATGTATTAGTTGAACAACAAAGAAGGCCCCAAGAATGGACAAAACCATCAAAACATGAAAACATACATTTTCTAACCTTTTATATACACTTTTGATCATATAGACTAGAACTGCCCAAATGGTCATTTTGACTTAACACTAGAACCGCAGGGATTCTAAAACTACTAAAACAGCCGCAAGCAGTCATTGTGACCTTTTCACCATCTGATATGGACACAGATGTGTGGACTGTGCTCGAAACGCATACTTTTTTCCTGGGTTTGCACTGGTAGACCGTAAGTGTTGCGTTGTCAGATTGAAGCACCTGTGTGGTAAACAGTGGCATGTGCGCTTTTACACACAGAGGGAGCTCTCTGTTATTTGTATTGATTTTGCCAACTAGATTTCAGACAAATTTCCCATATTTCAGACACCAGAGCAAACCTGTTTTCCTGCAGGCGCATGTCCCTTGTTTCTTTTTTATCAAAAGAAAGGAATTGCAATATTTCCTGAAATCTGTGGTAGGACATGGTATCCTGGAAGAACGCACAGCCCCAGTTAGATGTCCAAAAGTTTATGAGGTTCATATTTTTGCCACCTATCAGGCCACGGACAGACTATACCAATGAAAGCTTTCAGCTCATCCACTGTCAGGTCCCATGAACTGTCCCTCATCCCTCTGTTTGCTTTCTTCACAGTGTAATCCCTAATGTCATTCAACATACTGTAATCAACTAAACACAAAAATGCAGTGAGAGCATTTTCAATTCTGTGCTTGGTGTGTTCTGTGGGGCCTGAAACTTCCAAGAACTTTAGGGTTTCTTTTTAATAATTTTAGATTGTAAGATCTAACATGTAAGAAAGGTCAAACATTTTCAAAAATGCACGCCTTTGGACTGCTGTTAAATTAAGCTTCAAAAACAACAGATAATAACTGGTCATTGAACTACTATACGAACAGGACACATGTATTTTGTAACACTTACCAGTGGGGGGCGGTGGTGGACTGTCAACTGAGGGTTGCTCGTAAAACTACTTTGTGGGGAAGATCTTGCTCCTGCACCTAAAGAGAGAGCAGATGAGAATTGAAAAATGTGTGAGCAACATATAAAGTGCACCACATATTTACTAATGGCCAGCTGAGAGTTAGCGTTTCTCTCTTCAGCCTTGCAAGAAAAATTAAAAATAATTTTTAATGATGTCTTTATAGCTAATTAATAACATGTTTATGCTTTATATGATAACGAAAAGAATAAGAACTTGTTTAATGTTTTTTGTCAAATCCTAAATGGTGGTGGTAACACCTGGTATTATAATCATCATCAGTTAATGTCATTTATTTAAATTTTATTTTATTTTGATAACTTACTGTTGAGAGTTCCAACAACTAGAGGAGCACGTTGGGTCGGTGAGGGAACCGCAACACTGGCACTTTTCACTCCTGTCACTGGAAAACATATTACAACATAATTGATGAAACAAGTATTAGGTTATATACAATAATGCCATTTGTCACATTTCTCACTGGTAAACAGATGACCTTAAGCCTTACCCTGCACATCATCATCATCCTCAGTGAGATCGATAACGGAGCCCTTGGGACGTGCGGCAGCCGGCTTGGATGAAGTGGTACCAGTAGCTTGGTTATCTTTAAAAAAAAGAAAAGAAACATTGGTTGGTCAATTAAGCTGTCTTAATGGGGGTTGGTTTAGAATACAACACATTCTAAGAACATAGCCCACACCTGTCTTTGTTGTCAGAGATGTCCCTTGAGGAGGTCCAGGAGCAGTGGAGCCTGTAGCTGCTGGTCCTGACGTTGTCGGGGAGGATGTTGATGACACAGCTCCAGCAACAGATACAGACTGAGCAGGGGTCTTGGCAGTTGTAACAGATACCCCAGCACTGGGTGTACTTATGCCCCCTGTACCACCCTGGTATACTGCCCGGGCAAGAGATATCTGGCCAGAGGACATCTGGGCAGAGGAAGCCTGGAGTGCTGGAACAGAAGCAGCAGCTGGAATAGCTGGTACGGTGGTAGTGGTGGTAGCAGTCTTCAGTATAAATGTAGCTGTGGATGCTGTGGTTTTGGCCTTGTTAAGCGACGCAGCAGCAGACAAAGAGACAGGGATGTTGACCAGAGTTCCTGCTTGACCGTTTGCCACTGATAGAGGCAGCTGGATGAGCAACGGCTGGGCGGTAGCCATCATACTGCTTCCAGGGGCTGTCTTCAGGACGAGGGTACCTGTGGGACTCTGTGTTGTGATACCAGTGGCGTTGTTAGAAGCAGCATTGGAGGTGGTGTTAATCAGATGAAGGAGCGGGGTCTGTGGAACCAGGGCTGTAGAGGTGGACGTTAGGGCAGTAGCTGGGACAGAGACTGGATTTGCTGAGGATAAGTATAAAAGTTAAGAGTCAGTAGGAGAATAGTGGTTTTAAAACATGTTTTAACTCTAATTCAAGGAGGCTTTGTCAACATATTCAACTTATTTACTAACCTAATATTTACTACCTAACATGATGGAACTAATATATTAGGATCTCAATCTTTTACTTACATGTTCTGTGTGACCTCACATAACACACACATCTACTGGTTGTTACGTGTAGTAGCACAAAATAACACTCATTTTTGAAATAATTGGTCAGATTTTCTACTAATTTGTTTCAAATGCTAATTTTCTTGCCTTTATTAACTTCTTTGGCAGCTTGGTGATATGGCTTTGAATGACCAACATGAAAGGAGAGAAATACAACTTTAACAATATTGTATGTATGGATACCAAGATAATGAACTGTATGTTGAAAATCTGTTTTTTTCTTTTATAGAGTTGCACTACCAAAGTGTACACAGACATAACATTAAAGTAAAATGACAAACACAGAGACCATGCAGAGTCATACATTCCACAATTTTTTGATGTAATAGCCAGGTTCACTAATTTGTTTCCTAACCAAAAACTACTCAACATTTAAAGAAAACCACCACTACTCACCAGCTGTAATGGAGGAAGAAGCTGTAGTTGGAGTTTGCTTAACCACCACTGCAGTCCGAGATGACCTGTAAGGAAAAATTGTTAAATTTTAGTTATTGTTATCTTTGTGGCAAAATAGTAGAATTAATAAAGAACAAAGATGTTTCAACTGAAGTTCCAATTCTTTCTCTTCAATCAACAGGCCTTCAAATGCTTTGGTTTGTTTTAACTAGGGTTTTATCAATGCAACAAGAATCTCAGTTCTTGTCTGTGAATATGGACCACATTATAATGATTTCAGTGGCACAAGATGGCATTTGCCCCAATGTGTTGCTGTCACACTGCAACATTTATATGGCAGAACAAGCAGTAAAAGACATGAGAAAATACAATAAAAGAAGATAATCACCAGAAGCATCACCTCCGGGGATCAACAACAGGTATTATGAAGTATTCACAACAGTATCTGTCTCAATGAGTGACTGGGTTTTACTTTTCACTTTCTCTTTTACTTCAGGTAGAGTATGTGCTTCAAGCACATGGGTGTTTGTAATTAAAAAACAACAACAGTAGTGTCTGTTTAGAGATTGGTTATTTAAATTCAAATAAAGAATATGAATAATGCTTTGCTGCTACTAGTGAGAGGGTAGATCCAAACTAGCATTCAACAACCAAAAAAATGAAGATAGATGTGACATTTGGTGGCAATGCCCAAATATTTATTTATGTTTATAGACCAACATTCGGAGCCCGATTCAGAGAACAAAGCCATAAGTTACTATAACATAAATGGGTGATGGGTTATGGGTGGCATAACAAAGTGTTAATACATTCATAAAGGCCACAGTTTGTGTAAGCTCCAACCAGGTTTGTTGATCATGCTACTAGACATCGGCTCCTTCAAATGTTTGTCCATTGCATTTTTGAAAAAAATTGGGTCTTCTTTTCACTCGCAGAATTTCATTGATAACATCGCGAATTTCCCTCCAGTTGGCACAGGACAGAAGTGGGAATCGATGCTCAATGTATGTTCTCATAGTCCTCCTTAAGTTCTTAGGCAGTGCGTCCTTTCCTAATAACCCAACATAGTTGACCTTGGCAACCCAGTCACAGTAGATGTCGTATGGAACTAAGGCGCGGAATAAGTATGAAGCATAGCGATCAGGCCTGGGATTTCCTAAGCATTTTTTGCAGTTAAGGTACAGGATTCCCTCCAGCACAGGAGAGATGGGGCGGAGGGCAATATCCGCTCTGCATTTTCCCTCACTGTACTCGGTCAGCTTTTTGGCCATGGTTATAGGATGTGACATTTCTTTGCCCTCTTCGACCTTCTTCTTCTGCACAGACAGGACAGTCATCTTATCAACAGACCGCGCCACTTGTTCTCTTGGCATCTTGGGCTGTGGTTCTACTGTCTGCCGGCGAAGAACGCTGTTGGAAGGAAAAGTGCAGTTTTTAC